TCCTTCGATCAACTGACCCCTTTTCTTGATCCTGGCGCTCGGTTACATTTCATTACCACGCAGGTCGGACTGTGGATGACCCCCCCCCTCTTCCCTACACACCAACATCCTCACTCCAGCATTACTAAAAGCATTCCTTTTAGCATTTGTAAAGCTTTGAGGGTTTGTTTTGTTTTTTTTGTCCCCCCCCCCCATTTCCTGTCCATCTTTTTTTTTTCCTGTTTCAAGGGGAAGGGGATCAACACGACGGAGGGATTTTTACACTCTTTCTTGTTTTGTTGTCCTAATAATTTCCATCTGTAGGAGTGACGATTCAAGAAAGCAGTTTTCGCACGCAATCAAAGGGCACTCTGTATTTTTTTTAAAACAAACTCTGAATCCATAGTAGGCTGTGTAAGATGGGGAAGAAAAAAAAACGCACATGGCCCATTTCAGTTAAGCTCTATTTAAGGACTTGAAGTTATTCACGCACCTCATCCTTCCCCGCAATCCCCTCACAACCCCTCACCTCCAAGTGAACCGTTGTACACTCATAAACATGTGCTCGTACACACACATACACACACATTTGCACGCACAATTGTAACCCCATGTCCCCCCCCCACCACCACCTTTTCTTTATTCTTAAAGTGGAGGTTCGGACCAGGTATTTAAGCAATTCATTTTTCTTAGTTTAAACTGTGTTTTTATTTCCTACCCTGATTTATTCTTTAGTTTGCTTCTTTCCTTTTTTTTTTCCTTTTTTAATTCTATTTTTTTCCCCCATATATTTTCCTTTTGCTATTGTCAAATTAGTGGCTAACATCTTAAATGGCTACAGGACTGGCTTGGGCTCTGGTTGCGAGGAGAACCCACTCTTCTTGCACAAAACCTCTGTATATTGAATTACCTGAGAGGCTCGTTGAGCTTTGTGTGTTGATTAAACTGTGTAATAAAAAAATTTAAAAAACTTTGACTCCTCTAAGACTCAATCTCTGGACCCTTAAAAAACATTTTTTTATGAATGTTTTACGTTTGGGGTATAACAGAGTAAAAGGTTGCTTACTTCCTTTTTCTCTTTCTTCTCCACAAGTTTGTATTGGAATCTCACCCTCTTCAAACCCTTGGGGGTCCATCTGGGGTTTCTGCTTGTAAACAACACCCAAATCTGTGTGTGAACCATCTTCATCTTCTCTAAGATAAAGCCAACATTCATGTGAATTAATAGTGAGGACCATCGTGTCAAAGATGAAGCACAAAACTAAGAAAGGGTTTATTGCCTATTTTATTTGCATTTTATAGTAAATGTTTGGAAATGAGGTAAAAAATGGGAAAATCAACAACCTGCTCAGTTGGGGCAACTGTATGCTGGGTTAGATGTAAGTGGGTGTTTCACTCCATGTCGTACGAACAAACAAAATTTAAATACACTACTTAAAATAAATTAGGGATATTGTTAATTACATGATTAGTTTTCTTCATGGTGTGAGGAGAAGCACAGAATTTTGGTCTGAAATTTGATTATAAAAATGTCAAAGTTCCCTCTGATATGAACAATAATTAATGAAAATAAACACCATTTTCATTAGTTTAACCATTTATAGCTGCAAACTTTAGAAAATAACAAGGATAGCCCCAAATAACAAAATTCACAATGTCAGTCGCGGTTGTTGCCACCATTTTACTGCAATGACAGCTTGACACGACGTCTCATGCTCCTCACTAGCCTGATGATGCTGTTCTGAGACAACGCTCCTCTCTTCCACAAGCGCTACACGCAGTTCTGCCAGGTCGTATGGGGGTGGGCTACAATCATCCGTTCTCTGCTTCAGCTGGTCCTAGACATGCCCTTTGGGGTTCAGGTTCGTGGACATTGCTGGCCATACCATATGAGGCACTCATATGTAGTACTGCTGTGACAATTCTGGCACAATGTGATGAAGCATTATCATCCATGAACAGAAAGTTTGGGTACTGCTGTCAGAATTTGGAGATGATGACTGGTTCCGTCATGTCTCGAAGGTAAGACTGTGCAGTGATGGAGCCATCTACGAAAACCAGATCTGTTTTGCGCTGACTATTGATGTTTACCCCCTGACTAGTGATGTTGCACCTTGTCCACCAAAGCAAAGCCAAATCTTGACCTCGGTTTATCACTCACTGTGCCTTCTCCAGCAATGCTGACAACCATCATTTCTGTGCATGGTTTTCCGACGCTAATCAGTGAACAGAACAGGGGATCACTGCTGCCTTATCCAGATCACATGGTCTTATGTCCACTGCAAACGTTCACGGCAGTGTCTTGGTGTCGGTGGAGTCCCCTGCATCGGTCGTCTGGCATTCAATTAATGCGGTGGCGTCGGTTGCGAATGATTTGTCTGGAAACTTTAGTACCCCTCACATCTTGTAAAGAGGCCTGCAGCTGTGTGGCAGATGCATAATGATGTCTGAGTGCATAGGTCCTTGGGTTCTGGTCATTGGTGCAGTCAGTCACTTGAGGGGCTCCACTACTGGGTTTGTCACGAAGTCTGCCAGTAGTTCTGTGTCTTCATGCAAGTCTGCTGATGACACTTTGAGGCACACCAAGTTCACGAGCAACATCTGACTCCCTGCAACCGACCCGAAGGTGCGCTATGGCCAGGTCACACTGCACAGTGACATCATTGGTTCAAGGCTATTTGAATGATGAACTTGAAATTACTTACTGATTATACCAGCTTTTTATAGCCACAGGATGTTGAAATTGATGCCAAATTGTAAAGGGTTCTCTTTTAGTTTATTGGTGTTGGCCCCAATATGTAAGGAAAACACAAAATAAGGTGTCTATCACCCCAATACAATTGCCTCCCTATCCCAAAGATATCTGAATTTAATCAAAAATGTATGTAAGAAATCAACTGACTCCCTCACAATATCCTTAACTTATTGTGAATAATGAATATTTTGAAGAATTATGCACATTCAAATTGACCTATACCATACAAAGGCAAAGTAATTATCGCTGACAGCATCAGACTCACCAGTACTGTCACTGTAGTTTATGTTTATGCATTTAGCAAACATTTTTATCCAAAGCGACTTACAAAGTAGACACAATGTTACAGTTATCATAAGTTAGAGGAAAGTCTAGAGGAAAGCCCTAATCAAAAACAGTCGTGACAGCCAAGAGAGAGAGGGAAGTGCAGAAAGAGAAGTACAGAGGGTATTGAGGTATGGGTAAGAGTTCGGATAGGAGATGCTCTTTGAAGAGGTGAGTCCATCCTGTAGTCCGTCACTGTATCAGGAACAGGTGCCGCCAGCCTTGCACGCTTTTTTTGCACTCCTACATCTTTGCCACTGAAGGCCGTGGGCATTTTCATCCCCTCCAAAAGTCCATTCACTTCACACAGAGCAGCTCATCTTTGCTGATCTGGCGAAAGTCTCCCTTCTCAACCTATTTTAGAAAGGCCATTTTAGATCCTTTCACTTATTCAGATGTTTTGGTGCAGCTCTCAAATAACCTTTGCTGGCTCGGGCCAGGTTCCTGGCATCAGCCTGAAGAGGTCTGTTGTGCCATATATTTTTCCTTTTCAATGGATTAATGAGAGACCCATTCTACAGGCCTAGTCCTACTTTCTTGTGCTTTCTTTTCCAAAGTGAGTTGCTTGCAGCCACACTGCTGGTATGAGCAACAAATGTTTGTTCAAAGAAATTCAACAAAACTGCATCCACTAGGCATTTTTTTTACAATTCAAATTGAAAAGTAATGATTAACGAAAGGTTACGAGGAACGCTGAACGGCTCAAACTGAGTCTCTATCATGAGGGACAAATGCAATGCATTCCGTACTTTATAACATTATTCACTGCCTTAATATTTTTTCGGGGGGGTCAGGTTTTCCTTATGCCATTAAGAATCCTGTGCACGCAACTATGTCTCACTTTCTTTATAGTGCAAACATACTTCTTAAAAGTATTTTATTTAGTAAAAACGTAAAAAATCGCAGCAAAGCGCCCCGTATCACGGTACACTGGCAAGTTATGTGCTCCTGCTTTTCGTGATTGACCCGTTATCTTTATAATTTGATCCAATAGAATCAGGATGACGTCACTATTCCACGAGAGACTAACCAATGGAAAATAATAAGGAAGTAAATACAATGATGGACTCTCGCATTCACTCAATAATTATCAGATGTTGTTTTTTTCTGTCCTTTTGGCAAACTTGGAGATGATGTCGTAAAATAAATGGGGCTTTATCCGATTAATACATTTTGCGGTAACACTGTAAAACAGATTAGTTAAAATCGTGTCTTTTAAAATGAAACTTGATTTACTGCGATTGTGGCGTTTCTGTGAATACTAAATATTGGTTTCAGGTCCCGTGAAACTAGAATTCTATTCCCTTGACCTCAGTACCGGGGGCATTGGGGCTCATTGAGATTAAAGGTGCCGAGAAACCTGCCCTTTAAATTACAGCCAAGCCCTCCTGGAGGTTTTTGGCTGTAGGATTCTTTGTCTCCCTCTGGCGGCCCCACAGTGGAAAGAAAATTTTAAAAGGCAGCATGGATTCACGAGTATTTTTCAGAGTTATTGGAAAAAATTAAATAAGTTATATGTTATTTGACTATGGACATGGAATGTTATTATAAGGGAAATGAAAGACAACTTTTTGCAGCTTTCAGGACATTACTTTAAACGTACATTCCAGGAATAACAGTTCCTATACATATTATATTTTTGTTATCATTTAGACATATTTCAATGGCTTTTTAAATTTTCTTTAAGATGTTTTTAAAAATTAAACATTATTAAATGTCATAACCAAAGAGCGTCGTCAAATAACGTTGCGGCGATACCGGAAGGAGCTCTCAGTTACCGTCTTAATTTAGTTCCGCCCTCTCTGTGTCCTTAAACCTAGAAGCTGAAGCCTGATTGGTTACTACGCAGTGACGTCACCGTCTGAGACGGCATCGACGGCTGACAGACTCCAGATAAGCTACTTATTTGACCTTGCTGCTTAACGTTGACCGCGAACAACACACCGGTCAGAGGAAACATGGCTACATTAAGTCTGCCTGACATGCCACAGTTCCCCATGCCTCCGATGACGGCGACACCAAGTTCGGGTATCAGGTTAACCAAAGGTAAAAAAAAAAGAATGCTACTGGGAAGTGGTGCTAGCATGTTGGGGTATTTTCGTTAGCCCAGAATGTAAACTGAACATGCCTGCCACCTAACGATTCAACTAAACTTGGAGGACACCGTACAGTTTTGTTGAAACGTAAGTGGATTTAGCAGACGTTAATGTTGTGTAGTCTACAATTAAAAATACTTCAGCAAGAGAAATTATTTAATAAAAAATGCTTGTTCGCTAAATTACCCTTGTTATATGGCAAAATGCCATGTAGCTAGCAAACTGCCCAGGCGTTTTAAGAGGTATGAAGGCACGTGTTTGTATCCAAAAACAGTTACAGTTACGACAGTAAGTAGGATTATGTTCGTGCTTCTAACGGACCACACAGTTGGGTCTCTGTTTCTCCTGTCTTACGTCTCTATATCATGTGATGCTCTGTAGACCTCAGTACATAATCCTCCTTTAAAACAGCCAGTTTCTGTAATAGTGGACCAAATCATAAAGATACACTGTGCAGGCTTTTTCAATTTATTTGTCACCAAATGTATTATATAAGCTTAGCGCTTTATTTTATTGGTAAACAGAAACATTTAGTAACAATAGTTTATATTTTCAAATCTAGCCTCATACATCAGCCTTTTCTTCTTTTCCGACAACATGCAAATGTCGGTTACATGATTTGAAGACTCTTTGATTACACCCATGTACCCCTGTTTGATTTTTGTTTTCTCCTTATCTCTTCAGAGCATTTCCTGATAGCTGTGCCTGTAGCTGTCATTGCAGCAGCTGGAGGTTTCCTTGTAAGCCACTACTTAAGCAGGCGCAGCTGTAAGAAAGTAAAAGTGAACACATCCATCAGCAAAGACAGTCCCAAAGTGGTCCACAGCTTCGACATGGAGGACATTGGCACCAAAGCTGTGTACTGTCGCTGCTGGAAGTCCAAAAAGGTTAGTTTGAGTTTGTTTTATAACTATTTATTTTGAATGGACATCTTTAGGTTGTATATAAAAGCTCAGAGAAAGCAAATGATGATTCTAAAGTCTGGGCTCTGTGGGACTCTTTCTGGGCAGTAACTTTTTTATAGTGTAGCTGAAATGCGGTGACATTTAAAAAAACAAAATAAAACCTTTCCCCAAAGAATTAATACAAGGTATACACTGTTTACACAACATAAAAACAAAGTTGCTGAACTATTTTTTGTGATATTTGTTTAAAACCTTGCTTGGCTTATGACCTGCTCGCAGAGTACAAAGTGCTGAAACTCGATAAGAGCAAATGTTTTGCTCGTTTGTTTGTCCTCCTCACAGTTCCCCTACTGTGACGGTGCCCATGCCAAGCACAACGAGGAAACCGGGGACAACGTTGGACCGCTTATCATCAAAAAGAAGGACGCTTAATCCAACCTGCTGGAGAACTCGACCCTCTCCTACTGCTCATTCTCCTGCCTGGTGTGACGCTGGTGCTGCCAGAACGAACCAGAAATCATTTGTCATTACATGCGTTCCTCACTGTTCCCGCACTAATCCAAATGACTTTGAAATCAAAGATCATATCAGAGAACATTAAGAAAAAAGACTCCAGCAATCAGTGCAGGCAGACATAGTGGCATTTGTGAGCAGTCCGATCCCGTTTGTTGATTTGTTGGTATTGTGGCCTAACGCTACCTGTCACCCGTGTCCCCTCTGTCGTTGGCTCCTGCTGGTGCGGAGCAGGTAGTGAAAACAAGAAACTCTCAGTTCTTTGCTTCTGTCGGTTCAGCCTTGCAACTGATTTTGGCACAGGCCTTATACTGAAATCTGCACCTGAAACACACACAACCCATATGAATGTTTTGTGGAACAATCTAATTTTTCTCTCTTTCTTGCTGCTTAGTCAAAATAAATGGAGGCCACGGCTTGTCTTAAATCAAATAATTAATTTGTGAGACAACCTTGCGTTTGTGACTATTTCCGATCTGCTTCGAGAAAAAACAGTTGTATGTCAACTGTAGTGTCCAAAGGTAAAACCTCTACTCTCAAGGATATATATTTTGCCTGTCACTGAGTTGATTTTTTTTTTTTTCTATTTGCTTGCGGTGCGATTGAGTCACTGTTCTGTATATTGTTAATAAAACTTGTTGAGTGATCTGATTTGTAGGCTTCGCCCATTCACTCCAGCACAAATGCAGATGCACTTCGGTTTAACCGCCTCACCTCTGTCTGCAACGTGTTTGTGGATTAACAGTAGATGAGGATAATGAGTAAACAGCTCTGTGTGGTGACTGCAGTTACGTATGTGTGTGTGAGAGGCCTTGGCTGTGGGGGGCTGCTGTGCTGCAGTGTCCACCAACACCAGTGGCCATTTTAAGACGCAGCAGTATTACTGCTGACCGCTAGAAGACGCTGTGTTTACGCGGATGGTCCAGGCCATACGGTGTTGTACCGTGGGCCCCTGCTCCCATAGCGACACGCACACACACACACAGACGCGCCAGCGCGCGCGCACACACACACTCAAGCGCGCACGAGGTGTCTGGCTGCGTGCCAGATGCAACGAGGACTCTCAGAAGAGGTGGAGTGGACTCTGCGGTCCCCGTGTAAGGAGTCACCTTTGTGAGACAGCTCAACAGTGTGCTCACGGGGCGAACAGTTTGTTTGTAACTTGGGGGGGGGGGGGGGGGGAGAACGGATATTTAGCTTTAAAGCTACATACTCTGATAAGCTCACAACTGGCTTTTGTTTACAGCGCGTTTTTTTATTTAGCTGCGAAAAATACTGATTTTTTCTCCAACCTAAAAGTTATTTTTCTAACATTAAGTTTTTGTTTGATTTGTAACTGATACTGATTCGTGCCGGCTCCATTTACGGTGTAGCCAGCAGGGAGGGTTAAGCGCCCACAGGTCCTAACAGGACGGACGGGACGGCAGCTTCCGGTCTGCACAGACAGCCCTTTTTTGTGTCCGCTTTTCTCATGTTGAAAACAGTTTTTTTTTGTTTCACCCCACCTACGCGTATGATGTAAAAACGATCAGTTTACGGATATGCTACAACTAAATTGCGCGGTTGAATGACCTTAAGGAAAATCCCGTTTTAACTACCAAAAAGTCGCCCCGCAAAAAAAGAAAAGACAGAAAACCTGCCACGCGCTGAAAGTAGTCCATAAAAAACTCCGATGGGAACCCTGGTGCGCGTTTTCGCCTTTTATAGCGAATATGACAGGAGAGAATAAATACCATTTACTTATTTTTCAAAGCCTTTGCCTCTTTCTGTAAACACTGACCAATTTGATGACACATTTTAATCTTAATTTTTAACATGTCAAGTCGTTGATTAACGTTAATCATATAAAAGAATGTGTCTTAAAGTGTCTCTTGGTGGTTATTTGTCCCCCCCAGTGGGCATGGTGTGATGACTTGATGTCCGTGAACGTTGTTGGGTTTTAATTTGGAGCTCGCGTGAGCGATGTGAGCAGCTCGTGTGGACGCGGGGAGCTTGCTCCTGAGGATATCACGGGGTCGCTCAGTCTGACCACGCAGCCTCGGCTGCAGAGTCCACTTCGCATTTTGAGCGACGCCCCCAAATTCCGTGCAGAGTGTTTGCAGACCCTCCGGGACGGAGAGGTGGAGGAGGAATCGGCAGCTCCGCCGTCCATATACGCTCCGATCGCCACGCCATTACTTCATGACTTCATCGTGTATTTGACAGCGGGGAGTTCGGGCCGCGTTCGGAAGGTAAGGCGAGACGTTTTTCTCGACACTTCCTGTTGGTCTGGTGCTACTCGGGTTTGTCGCCTTTTTTTTTCCTCCCCCTTGCGCGCTGCGCCGTGTCGCAGCGACCACTCGGACTGTGGTCAGCTCGCCGTGGCGTCGGTCGAGCACAGTCCTCTTAGGTAACCTCAATTGCGCCGAAACAATCGATCCGGCTCCCCGATCGACCCCGTCAAAAATCTCCACGGGCTCTTACAGTGATAACCGTACGCGTCCCGTGTTTAATCGGGCTGGTAGTTTTCCTATAAATGTGGCCACGGAATATAGCCTGGTCTTTTTTTATCCACAGCCACCGCATCGTTGCGCACCTCGCTCTTTCGTCGTCGATACCAGACAAAAGACAGCCTGTTTTTTTTTACGGTGCCCCGTTTGGTCCCTCGCTGGTCAGTTTTTAGCTTTGGCTGGCACACATAACAGCAGTCGTCAAAATGTATTTGAAAAGCGCGCTCCACATTTGACCTGCGCATATGCGCATATCTTTGCATATTGTTGTCGCTCTGTTATTGATTGCATTGATATACCGTGAAATTCTTAAAGGGATACTGCCTCCTGTATGCGGAAATCCTTTTTCAAGGCATGAACTGGAAGAGACAGGGATCTGTTCGTTTCTTTTCAAGTGGTTTTATGTTTTTTTTTCCCCCCTCACATAAATATGTTTTTAAAAAGACTTTTAAGAAGCTCTGGCTGAAGAAATCCCTTCCTCTCTTGTCTTCTCTACTTGCTCTCTTTCTGTATTTGTCTCTCCAACATTTCTATTCTTAACCTTCCCGTATTCATCCCCTGTTCATCTCTAGCTCTCCAGGACTCCAAGGCTGCTGCAGAGAATGGGAATAGGGACACAGGCCAAGGCTTGCCGCTCTGGCTGAAGTAACAGCAGGACAGTTGTCAACCCCGCATCGGCTTCAATTTCCTTCTCCCTCACCTCTTCTCCCACGCACAAAAAAACACAAGAGCAGATATTCCCCATACCCGGTCACTGCTATGTCCACCGCGATAGACATCGCTGGCCCTTCCTCCCCAGACCAGGCCCACAGCAGTGCTAAAATCCCCAATGAGCCACTGAGACCGAGCCTTAAGCGCTCCAGCCACCCCTACAGCCTCTCCCATTACATCTCCACCCCTTCCCCAGCTGTGGATGTCAAAGGCCTGATCCAGCCCTCCCCGGCTCAGCAGCGAGCCGCCCAGCCCGGGCACACTAAGCCCCGCCGGGCCCCCTCCTGGCCCGACATGTGGGAGTCGCCCAGCGGGCTCCACCTGGCCCATGCTGCAGAGCTGCTGATGCGCGCCGGGCTGCTGGCGCTCACCCCCGCCACCACAGAGCAAGCCAACCTGGGTGCCCAGAGCAGCCAGCCGGCTAAAAGAGAGGTGGCGGAGGCAAAGGGAGGAAAGGCGGATGGAGAGGGAGGTGGGTCTGGGCCCGAGGAGGAGGAAGAGGACTCTTCTGGATGTAGCACTGACTTCCAACCCTTTCTCGGGGCTTGGTTCCCCTTCAGCCCCGCTCTCTTCCCCCTGGCCGGCTTCCAGATGGGGGGAGGCCACTGGCGAAGCGCGGCCATGGGAGCCGAGGGCATAGAGGGCCTGGTGGCTGAAGGCTATTCCCCTGGCTCCCTCGGCGGCGGCGGCGGCGGCAGGAGGAAGAGGAAGAGGTGCGGGGAGTGCGTACCTTGCCGACGTCAGACGAACTGCGAACAGTGCAGCAGCTGCCGCAATCGCAAGAGGGGACACCAGATCTGTAAATACAGGAAGTGTGAGGAGCTGAAGAGGAAGCCCGGGGGGCCGGGGTTTGAGAGCAGAGTGTCTGGGTTTGATCTGAGGGGGTCCGACTTTACTTTGGGTCTGGCACAGGAGAGAAGCAACGGAGCCTTGGATGGATAGTAATTCCTGCTTCGGCAGCATTTGTCAGGTTGGATGATTGTTTGGGAGCTGTAGTGTAAGAAACACACCCAGGACACCATGTTAACATGCTCGGACTGTGGTAGAAAGGCCCCCAGGTCTCGTGTTTAAAGAGGAGCTGCAGCTCTGTTTAAGAATGTCCACACTTGTTTCCATCCTTTCTTTTGACAATCAGTGAATTGGGAGAGGCGAAAAAGAAGGATACCAAGGTGTGTCAATATTTAGACGACAACAAAAATGCTGTACATAGACTGTAAATATCTGGAAAACATTATGTCTTTTTTTACATTGCTTTCCAGTTTGGATGTATCGTGCTTCAACATAAAAGAGGAGCCAAATGTTTTTGTTTCTGACGGGGAGTTTTTGCTTCTGTTGTTCTGACGTCACTGCATCAGTAAGAAATGAATGAGTTCAGCCTCGGCTAAATTATTTCATGTGCAACTTGTACTGTATAGCTCTGTTTGCCCTTTTGAAATAAAAAGAAATTTGCCATGTGCATTTGTCTACAAGCTTTATGCTACGCCCGCGTACCTGTGTTCCTTTTTAATTGGGTGTATGCGTCTGTCGGTGTGCGACCGTGTTTCTGCTTGCTCTCGCACATGTGGATGAGGTTGTGTGGATTATGAGTCACCTAATGGTGTGGCTGAGAGCCTTATCGCAACCCCACAGACGCATACACACAAACACATCTACACGCTGCTTTTGGCAAGTCTAGAGCACACACTTGGGCTCACCTAAACCTGACATGCAGTCACACACACAAACACTCATCTCCCAAATTTCACCACAACCCCTTCTTCCTTAGTTTTTTTTTTGTTTGTTTTTTACCCCACTAGAAGTCTATATCACATAGAGGCGCACAGATTTTAAAGCAAATACGCAGCCAGCTGGACTGAGGCTACAGGGTGGGTTTTTGCTTGTTGCCGTAACGATGGCTGATGTGATAAGACCTTCTTCCTCGGCGCCACACTCCAGGGGACCGCAGGGAAGACGTAACCATGGCAACGGCCGGCCCGAGGTGTCACGCTATAATTGGGCCACGGCTGCACTTCCTGTGAGCCTTCAGGCAGGGGGATCGCAGAGGGACTGTGCGTGTGCGTGTGTGTGTACGTGCATCTGTGGCGGGGGAGGGCGGGAGGGGTGTGTGTGTGTGTGTGTGTGTGTGTGTGTGTGTGTGTGTGTGTGGGGGGTGGGGGGGGTTGTCAGGCAGTGAGAGGGAGAGAGAAAGCACTGCACGCCAGCCAACGCAGGACACTGCCAACTCATGGAGAAAAGCAGTGAGCTCCAACATCATGCTATTACAACGCTCCCACTGAATGAGAAACACACAATCTTTTAGTTTGAGTCCACAGTCTAGTGTTTCTCCATCTCCCAGACAAAAGGGGAATTTCAAATTCTTGGATCTGCAGCCTCCCCCCCACCCCACCCCTCCACTTCTCTCTTCGGTGCCTTTTCTAGTGATTTGGAGCTTAATCCCCCCCCCACACCCCACCCCCCGCCCCGCCCCCGCCCCCCTGCCCTCCCCCTTTTTCTTGTCGCACATATACACACGCACACAAACGCACACCGGAAATCTGTGTCACCCGCTGCCCAGCAGGTCCAGTGACTCCCTGAACGCCTGCAGTCTGGCTCCACTGGCCTGCAAGATGGCAGGAGAGAAAGGGAGGAGGGGGCTGAAGGGAGGACAGAGAAGAGGAGGAGGAGGGGGGAGGGAGAAAGAGGAGAGGGGTGGAGGGGAGCGGGGGGGCATGGTGAAGGGCAGAGAGAGAAAAGGGGGAGGGGGTGAGGGAGCGGGTGAAACCGGGAGAGATGAAAAGCAGGCCACAGGGCGAGAGAAAAGAGAAAGAGAGGGACTTGCGGGGAGCAGGACGGGGAGATGGACAGCAGGGGATGGAGATAACGTGGGCCAAACAAAGAGAAAGAGAGACGAGAGGGAGACTCGGGGTTCGGAGCCACGGAGGCCGGGCCGAAATGCAATGAGACAGAGATGCGGGGATTCGCAGGTTAATGATGGATGCATTGTCCAGAGAGCCGGTGTGCGCCCGTCACAAACCCCCGTGGAGCTTACATATGTTAGCGCCAGCGGCCCTTCCCACTCCAGAGGGGGAAAAAAACTCCTCTCCCGCATACATACATTGCAGTGGAACAACCTGCCAGCCTAAGGCAACCTGCGCCGCTGCTGGGCGGACCCTCACTCGTGAGCCAGACCTTTGAAATGTTGGCCACTGCGTTTGCTCGGAGACACTGTGTCTCATTGTGAATTTTCCTCCTCCTCCGCTGGCTGTATCCCCACTGTTAGGAAATGTGTAGCAGCTTTACAGAAACAGAATCTGTCTGAGATCACTGCTCGTGACTGTTATCCATTTGAATTCACTTTTTTTTTATAAAAATCCGACTCTCGCGCAGAAGCACAATGGCTTCTCACAGCCTCGAAAAGCTCTTGTTCATCTGCCCTCAGGTTGTATTTTGGTGGCATGGGGGTCAGAGGAGATTCTTTGACCTTTGACCCCTTCAAGCTGTTAAAGGTGGAATCAGAGTAGACCGAATTCTATAAACAGCGTCATCTCCCTGTGGTTCGGCCTCATGCTTCTAAGGAAAAACAAGCGCAGAACAACACCATTTAAATGATGACTTTGACATTCAAGCCCACCTGTGTTAAATAAAATGTCAGTATGGGTTGCAGTCAGTCTAATTACAGCATATTCATAATAGCAGTAAAACTGCAATAAGCTCTAAAAACATTCTCACATTTTGTTAGCGTGTGGTTATGTGTACTAAAATAACTGTTAATCTTTAGCCTGTTGCTGATTGTTTTTTAATGCAGCATTTGTTATAGGAAGTTGAAGCACAATGAAGTCTGCCACCTGTACTGGTATTACATCACGACTTGTTTGAACGCCACTTCATAATGTTGAATGTTTCCCATGTCTACTGAGCTAGAGCTCACTTCCCGCCTTACATTTTGCGTAAATCCCATCTTTATAAGGGAAGAGTACCTTTATGTGGAGCTGTCAGTTTAACAAGGTCGGCGATGATTTTGATTAAATGAATATGAAATCATCAGTAGTAATTTTAATAGTATAAAGGTTAGCATTAGCTTAACAACAAAGTGTCATACTAAGCTTACACATAATTCAGCTTTATTACATGATCTCAAAAAGCCTGTCTTATATTTTTTTAAACTTTGAAGTAGGTTCCAGCCATATCAAAGTTTCTGTTAGCCATAGCTTGAAACTCAATGCTAAAATATGCATGCTAACACTCTGTTTCTAAGTGAGTATCTCTTAATTTCAAGTGGTCTGCTAGTTTGTTGTCAGTAACATGCATTTGCTCACTTAGTCAACTCTGTAAGAACTAAACATACCAACAGAGTGTCATGTCTTCATTTGCACTGAACTCTGTATGTCAACATAAGTCCACCTAGCAACCGGAGTTCTTCTACCACTTCACAGCTAACTTCTTTAGCAACTTAACAGCTAACTATGAGTGATCTACTCTATTGGCATGCTCATTAAAACTGCAGCAAGATTATCTTCCGAGGCCCTTCAGACAGTTACTTTTTAACGTCCCACAACACTTACCATAAGCAGTTTACCAGTAAGGCCACCTTCTTGAAGACCAGTAGGCTACAAAAGTACCAGTACAAAATTATTTTATGTGACTAAATTTTGATTCTAGAAATCTTCCAACAGCTCTTGAATTAGACTAACTTTGTGATCCAGGGTCTGGGTTACATGCAATATCTAGCATGGCTAAAGATCTTTTTTTTAAATTAATTAATTTTTTTACAGTTTAATGGGGAATTCTTATTTTGAAAATAACATCATTATCACATGAATGTACATGCTAAGTCGGCAGCAAATAATGCCGGTGAAAATCTTTCATTCTTAACATTACAACTAATATTAATAAACCTAAAGTGTTAATATTTAATGGAAACAAATATGTTGAGTGTTTTGTCTGCCTTTTTGCCATCTCATTACAATGGTGTAATTCATCTGCAGGAAGTTGTTGTTTATTTCCCCTCAAAGGTTTTCAAATATTATCTGAGGCATTTGCAGTGCCCTGTCACCATTTCACCTTTCAGGATGCACAGATAATAACGGGACCACCGGTGCACTCTTAACACCTACAGCATTCAGGTTACATTACAAGAAGTAAATGACATGCACTTTCTTACAGAACAAAGATAAAGTCCCCCTACAATGCTATGCTGGGAAACCCAACACTGTCCTACTATATATAGCGGGGCTTTTCGCACTGTGTGCATGACTGCTCGTGTTAACGTCACATGATTCAAGATATATGGGTGGACAGACACACGCACACATAGAAGCTGAGGGTGAGGGAGGTGAGGGAATGCAAAGACGGTTTATTGAGTTGAGTGTGACGTTTTGCTTCCCGTGACCCGAGTCTCATTTGCTCTGTCTCCCCCCCCAAGCGTCTTGTCCTCTGTCTTGGTCTACACCACATGCTAATCAGCTCTCAATGCTGTCCGTTTGATCTCTGATAGAGCTTTCTGATGCATCCCATTTAATAGATAATCGGCTGCTAACTATGCTACCTTTGAGCCACAACTATCGACTCCACCTGTGAACACTTTATGAGCAGAAAAGGAATAAAAAAACACAAAACTCCACTATCGTTAATTTGTTTAACGCCAGCAAAACAAACTCTGCAAATATGTACAAAACTGATTAAAATACAAAGGATAAAATACAGAAGAAAGCAATGTCAGCATCAGGAATGATGCAGGAATTAATTAGTGACCAAGTAAAGGGAGCATGTGACTAAATAGTTAGGTAGTAACTTCAGCTCAAACCCTACAGCTTAAAAATAATACACTGTTGATTCTGTCTTTCCAGTGAATTTGTTTTTCTGCAACTTCTTGCATATGATGCTACGTAGTGTGAGGACCATTTTCAAGTAATATCTTACATAATATACTCCAGGACATTTGGACAGAAGTTAAACCAAGGCTGTGAGGTTAAAGTGCTGACTCACGCCCAAATGACAGTTTGAGGGTTACCAAAATCCAAATAACATAGAAACACAATTTAATTTTGTACACGGCTTCCATCATTGAGTAACACAGCAGCCCGCTGATCTTAAACACACTAAGTTCTCAAGATGTACCCATTTGTATACCTCGCTTACTGAAAATTGAATTAACAAAGCAAAAACAAATAGAATCCAAGATGTTAACTGGATTTTTGCTCATGTATGTGGGTCCAAATCCCTGGGGAGTTGCTGAATACAATTTCGGAAGAACTCTCAACATTTTGCACAAAAGCCTTATATCTATCCTCAGCCAAAGAAATGAAATGTGCCCAAACAGTGGTTTGTACTTAAATGTACAACTTTATTTTGGTTTGTCATTTAAAAAGAAAATAAGTCATTACTTATATCAGATTTGTGAATAAGCTCTTAAAAAAGTTTGTTTTGTGATGTAAAATGTTATTCCCATCATTTTGATATAATAACATATAACAAGATATATATTAAGAATGAATTTAGTTGTTTTGTCTTGTTTTACCACATTTTTTTTGGCAAGCTAACAATAGTTAAAGGTGGCTCTAGCATAAATGTTGGACAAATTGTTACTGAGCAAGATACCAAACCCCTTAAAGGGCTGCTGATGAGCAGGTCAGCGCTTGTCAATGAATGTGCGTCGTTTGAGTGTTAATATGTGAATGTGCTGGATTGTAAAAAGGTTTGAACCCTCCCCCCTTAGGAGAAAAGCTCTGCATACATACTCTAAGTTTATAATTTTCTGTGTATATCAGTCATTTCATTGTAACTTCAGAGCCCCCACATCAGCTGATGTTTTGAATAAGGGTCTTTCCCTCTGGGGAGTGCAGCTTTGAGTTACACTGACTACATGTAAATCCACCTGGACCGGTAGAGAGAAAAACACATGAAAACGATCACTTCTTTTCTATTCCCAACAGCTTTTTTTATGACAAGTCACTTATAATATCACAGCATTTTTCCACTGTGTTCAGCAGTCTGTGTGCGTCTCTGTGTCTGAATAGCTTGCACTATGTCTGCCTGTCAATTGCAGACACTTTGAAAATGTACTTCAGTTTGAATTTCAACAAAAAATCAAAGCCGCTTAGTTTTGTGATTTTAAAAAGGGTCACTTGAGTCCAGCGGCTCACTGTCTTTCTCTCGCTCGACCCCACAGAGGTTTCTCAATCTGGGCCTTCAAATCATGTAAATAAAAGAGAAAAGAGAATATCCTTTTCCATCGATGCACATAGCCTCATCTTGGTCCGTTGCTTTACAACCGAGCTGCTACATTTGCACAGAGCTCGGACAGCCAGCTCCTATTCTTCACCGGGTCAAGTGTTGTCTTGAAGCAGGGTGGATACACACGGTCCTAGTGGATCAGCTGTGGGCCTCTTTTCTGGAGATGAGCAGGTTTGGCAGGTATGGACAGTTTTGTCTCAGCAGGTGATCTGCTGTGGGGATCATCTGTGAATGCCTTCCTGAGCTCTGCAACTCGACCTCCGTACTGTGACTTCTCTGCAAAATACTGCGTCTCTAAAAGAGAAAGAACAGGTCAGAGTGAGATCCAAGAATATTGTCATTCTGTTTTTGTGGTAAAAAACACCAGATTCTACGGAATACAAAACATATTAGTTTAATTTAATTTAACAAACAACTTCTCCCCATATTCAGTGTACGCATGTTAGGTGTGATACATCCTGCATGTGAGCAGCATGCTAGCTGCACACGACCAATCACTGTTTAATTTTCATAAAAACAAGCCCAAAATGACCCATTCTACCTCTTCCAGCCTCTTTTGTTTTCTCACCTCTGTCCTGTGGGCTGACTATCTCTGTATCTGACAGCTGGGCTTTAAGCGGCTGGTTGCCATAGCTACCAAGATGGGGCCTGTAGAGAAGAGGCCAGTCGTTAATGTTGTCCGGGCTGCCGCCTGATTCACTGTCGCTGTCCTCAGCGGGGTCCTTCAGGTCGTCATCGGTGCTGCAGGAGTCCAAGTCTTCCCTGGACAAGTGCTCGTTTGGTGAAGCTGGGTCTTCCTGTTCATAATCAAGGTAAAACTTGATGGTTTAGAGTCAAGCACACAGGACATTTCACAACATCCAATCCACTTACAAACACAGGGACTCACGTCAGCGTCTGTGAGGGGCAACCCGATGTCATCTTTGAAGCTAACCTGCCGGGCCTCTCTTCCTGGCTGCAAGTCTGCCGTCTGGATGCCATTCATATTATCACCGTGGAGTCTGAAAGACAAAGACATCCGTGTTTAGCCCCACAGACAGACGTCCAAACCTTTAAATGAATCCTCTTGTCAGTCATTTGCTAAATAACTGACTGAGGCTGACTGAAACTGCTGCGCTCGCTGAAGATCTTATCAAGGAAAATTGGAGTAATGTTATAATTATGTGTTAGTTAAGGAACATTTTGCACTGGCAGATCAACTTACTGACAAACCAGAAAGGATGTCTGTCCACCAGTTTGAAAAAAGTCAAACCTTGTCTAATTTTATAAAAGAAATACAAACATGTTTTTTATTGAATGAAAGACATGTCAATCTCTCTATAATTATTTTTTCCGGCTTGTTAAAATAAGCACAAAACATGAAAGTATTTCAGATACTGGACAACATTTTCTTTAGATTCTTTTGGAAAATCTGATCATACCAATTAAATACGGATGAATGACCCATTTTGTGTGAAACATGTCACATGATAGTGAGACTGAAGATAAGACGTCTACTTCTGTTTTTAGGCTAAACGATTAAAAGTAGATACAGAAATTGAAAAGAAATTAAAACATTTGTAAAACTTGTCAAACTAATAAATGCTCTTTATGTATTTGGCTTAACACGTTGACTGACAATTCTTATATTTGAGACATGAAATGTTTTTTGTTTGTTTGTGTTTTTCAGAAATGTTATTTTCTCTATTTTCTACCTGTTATACATTAGGCCCTGGAGGAGTTTGGAGGACCTGAACTCATCCACTTCACCGATGATTCTGACGCTCACATCACCGTCCCGACCGAGAAGCCAGCTCACGTGTTTCCTGGCAGCTGTGATCAAAAGCAGGCAAAAATTAAATGGGTATACCCCATCAAAATATGGTTTAATAACAGTGACACAACTTAGTTATCAGCAAGGCTTTGATTGAAACCCCTCCTCACACAGCGTTTGTTCAGGTAAACAGCCAGTAGATGGCGCTATCCTACAAGAATAAAATGAAGGCAACCTCATGGGGAAGTAACATTTTCCCAAACCATTTAAAGAAAGAATATCAGTATGTGGTTGCAATGTGGGACTGCAAACAGAAGAGCAAGAATATCCCGGTATAAGTTTAAAAAAAAACAACAACTGAAAACAGTGACTTGTCTGGCTATACATACATGACATTTGAAAAGATCTCTTTCCGATGTCAAGTTTTTAATGTCCCATTCACACTGGTAATTTCAGGTTGTTCTATCACACTGACGCAGTGGTAAAAAAAACAATCTGTGCTCTACAATTAGGGTAATCTGTTTTCCATGACTCTAGGCCTGCCATGATGTCACAAATAGAGGTGTGGTTTTAAAATTTGAATCCTGACGGTGTAGAAGCAATTTCCTGTCTATTGCAATCTAGTGTGGATGCTTCCCTCAAAAAGAAAGCTTGTCAGTGAACAAGCAGTAGTTGACGACACAGGTTTCTTTGAAACCAAAGAGGCTGTGCTTCTGTTCAAAATGAGAGGGATTACTTGTACTTGTGTCCTGAAACATAACATATAGAGGCACATTGTGTAAAGGCTTCAGTCTTAGGCCACCAAACAACTTCTCTGACATAAATCACCATCCATCTCTCAACACACCTTTACATACCAAGGCTACCCAACAGAAGTCAAACTGTAAAAAACAGATATACATATAGATTACCATTGAAGTACAGAGTAACCATAATCTATTGCGTCATAGAAATCTTAACCAACAGGTTAAGGTTTATTTGTGTTTTGGGGACATTTATGCACCTGCACATGTACAGTTTTCCCCTGCTAGCACAGGTAACAAAGAATGAAAGACATTTAACCAGAGTGTAAGTTGTGTAACGCTGAAATAGACAACTCATGCTAAGATACCTCTCAGGTGACATGGCAGAGATTGGATAAACAAAGATGGTAACCCAATATGTGGTTTAAAGCATAGTGACGCCCCAAACCACAGGCTGTTCTCAGTCTTTAACAGCTTTAAGCCCACAGAACAATTTGACTGGTGGAGACAGAGGCTTTCTGTTTCACACAGACGCACATGCTCTGGTCAGGAACCTGAACTAGTTAAGGTGATAGGGTGTAAAGTATGAGTCAGGTCAACACCTTTAATAGAGGAGGGTTGGGAGCAATGACTAAGAAAGGTGGAGTACCAAGTTACATGTGCATGATAGAGTAGACAAACACACTGAATCTGATTGGTAATTTGAGTGTTTTTACAAGGATTATTTGAATTGTTGGCTGAAGAAAAATTCTAATTTCAGATAATTAGCTGTAAGAAGTCTTAGATGGAATGTTTGTACACATTATTATTTTTTTCTTTAGAAACAAGCGTAAAACAATAGTTGGCCAAATGTCTAACTTGCCATTTTTCACCAGCAGTTGCTTCGCTGATGTAAAGTAAAAGTAATAGTTTAACATCAGCGGAGCAATTGCTGGTGTATAAGGCCCGCCAAACATATAAGTAAAAGTAATAGTTATATGTTTGGCATGCCTTATACATCACTGGAAATTAATATATATATAAAGATTAATAAACTCAAAGATGATTTTATGTTTTCATAAAATCATCTTTAAGCAATTCGAAGCTACACCTCTCTCCTTTCTAAGCTATAGTCAACAGCTTGCTAGCTTAGCTTAGCATCAAGAGTCAAAACTGGTGAAAAGAGCTAAGATGGTGTAATTAATTTCAGTAGTGTCGTACAAAAAAACTAAAATTATTCTGCAAGATGTAGTTATAAGTATTTTTATTTAAGCATTTTATTTTAATTTTAAATCTTTAATTTTTACACAAAGTCATTTAAGTCACATCAAAGTCTGGAAACATATAATCTATGTTAATTGTTAAGAAGTTGGATCTTGTTTGGGCAACGGTGATCACTCACCTTTTATCAGTTACTGTTAATGTTAAACTGAAACTGAAGGCCACGATTACCAGCAAACATTGTACCAAACTGCTACAAATAATTCCCATTTCATTCATTGTGACCTCTTTGTCATTACTTGAACTAATACTGTATCCCTGAGTATATTTAGATATATATAACCCCCATCTTGCTTTTTAATACTTCAGTGTAATCATTGTTGTGGTCTACCTTTCTTGGGCCTACTGTTGTTCCTTCCTTCCTTCTCTTCCGTCTCTTCCCGCTCTCTCCAGCGCCGTACCTGCTCTTCTCTCATTTTGAGGAAGAGGATCCTCTTCTGGTCCTCACTGAGGGCTTCCAGCACCTCCGGCTCCACCCACATGTCTTCAAGGATTTTGGCCAGCATCTTCCCCTTTATTCACCGAACTCCAGGAACGACAGACAGCCTCTCCGTCTCTCGGTCAAGTGGCTCGGGTTTCACCGGTGGGGTATGATGGCTACTTTTCCTGCTCCGCTCAGAGTTGGGTTCCTATTTCTCTGAAGGATGTGGGATCAGGTACAGTCCTAACCGCTGAAGGAGGTCACTGTGGTGTCCTTTGTGCTGGTCTCTCTGGAGGTGGAGGTATGGCGTGTTGGGATATGCTGGGCTGTGAAGGCTGCTGCTGTAGATTGTTTTGCTGTAGATTTTTAGAGAGACAGAGAGATTAAATCTGATGTATTGTTTTCTCCCTCTTTATTCAACAGTTTTCTGGCTGGCAGGACACAATGGCCCTTAGCAAATAACCCACAATGCCAAGTGTAATGTGTGTGCACTGGTAGGCTGAATGCAACAAGAATGCTGCTGGGCTTTCAAATGCTGAAAGGCAAACAGAGGCAGGTTCAGCAACATCAACATACGCACAGACACAGACACACAGGGCGGGGTGTTAATGTCTCCATGCTATCTGTTGGTAACAGATATGAAGAGGGAAAAAAAAGACAGCTTTAAGAGCGGAGTTAAATTTTTACAGACACGATTGTGTGTTTCATCTTATCTGCCCATGTGACAATGCTGCGAAACCCATAAGGAAGTCCTCCAGCTCAAAATCCCAGAAAACAACCTTGTATTGACATTGTACACATAAAAGTACTCCCTGTCTTGAATTCACTTTTGAAATAGGTGGCGTGGCTTGTCTCTGAGCAAGAGCCAATAGGGTTGCCGTTTGCGGAAATCACTGACCAATCTGCATCTAAGGTGATCTATGACTATATATGTGTAATACATGTGGGTAAATTATTAGAGGAAAACAAAGATCAACAGGCTTTATCCTGTTGACTTTTTGCCTTTATCCAAATCTTACAATATACTTTGTATTAATGCTATGGCAAGGGCTATGGGAAAAGGGCCATCAGAAGGTTGATCCCAAATTAATCTGAAATAAAAAGTGCTGAACTAAAGATTACAATTTTTTTTTTTGTTGTGCTTTCTTAATAAATGCTTTCATTATGAAAATCAGGAAAATAAGCTTATCTTCTTTGAACAATTAACTTAAAACATAAACAAACAGGGAATGGGTTTGCCTGAAACCCTGCAGGCAGCATTAGTTGTTGCACCAGTTATCCATTCATTCATTCATTCAACTTTGCTACAATTTCAGCAATTTATTGCAGGTTTTTTTTTCCTGCCAAGGTTTTTGTTACCCACGGCATTGCCTTCCTTTTCAGATCTTTTTTTGTTTAAAGATAGGATCTAATTTTCTTCACTGTTTCATTCTTTTGGAGCTGGAAAAGTCCCTTGAGACTCTATTATTGAGAACAAGACAAATAAACCCAGCCTGACTTAATCATTTGGAAGCAAACATCCTCATTTTAAAGGGAGCTCCAGTTTTTTTTATAATAGCTGCCCTACACCTGCATCACAGCTCATGTAATAAGCTGAACAAAGCTTATCAATTTAGGCATAACTAATTGGAGACAATAACCCACAAAAACATATAATAAAAAACACCATAACGCTGAGACAAAATTAGAATGTATGGAGGATGAGCTTACTGCTCGCTTAGCAGTGTTATTTAAGGTAAAGAATGCAGCTCTGAGCCAACATGCAAATAAGTCTGCTGCCTCACACATGCAGAGAAAAGAAAGAAAGGCAGGGAGAAGGATGGTGGGGGGTGTGCATGGCATACTGAGAGAAAAGTTTCAAAAGTCTCTCAGTCTGAGCAAACACTAGCCATTTCACCACGACGGACAAGAGAGAGCGAGAGATAAATTAACTCAGACGGGCCCAAGAATGAAAAATCAAACAACAAAGACAGCCAGAGAAAGAAAGGAGGAAGCACATGGAGGAGGGAGAGTGGACTTACTCAGTGGCTGCCAGCTGGTAGCATCTCCCGGCTCTGCTCTGACTCTGTGCCTCTGTGGGCTTGGTATGATGAGTGTGCGTGACGTGAAAAGGGTTGGCCTGTGTGTGTGTGTGTGGTATCAGGTCAGCCGTCAGCAGCAGTGGTGTGTAGGCTTGACTCTGCTCTGCGGCATTTGTAGTGAATAGGAGTTGGGCGTGCTGACAGCATGCAACTCTTTCTCAACTCCTTCTTCCTCGTCCTGTCTCCTGCTTAAATGACCACTGTGTTGAATAGAAATCTGATAACAGTGGGACGGAAAACATTACACTCGTGTTTCCACTCAGTGCAAAGCTTTAGTATGGGGTTCAAAGTTTTTGCTCCCTTGTGGAAATTCACTTTGTTAAAACTATGACAATTCTAATTTCCCCTGACAGAGACCAGCGACTTTTTTTCTCTGTGGGACATTGGGAAATGAGAGCCATTATCTTATTTCTGCTGTTCAAATTTACATAAGTGCTCTGACTAAGAGTGTGTGTGCCTAGATGTATCTGACCCCATTCCCTTCTTTTTCCTTCCTTAATGGAAATCCGGTGACTATGAATGAAACCTTTAACAACAACAGCACATGTGCAGGAAGGAATCTGGGTATTTATTCCACTAGAGTTTTCCGTCAACAGGTTGTTGAGACAATTATACTAACAAGGTTCGAGGTAGCTCCGCCCCCCAATGCCAGATCTGATAACTACAGTTGGTTTATTTCATCAGTCACATGTATCCATGGATTTACAGGCAATTAATGGTACAAGTGTGGGTCATCAGCCATGTTTAGATGATTAACGTTAGTCTGGGTTGTCCACTCACCTGGCAGGTATGAACTGTATGATCTATGAGCAAGTGTTAACAGGAAGAAGCTCAATGATTTTCTTTTGGTTTCGAAGATTCTTGACATTGTATGCAAATGGGACAAAAAGAGAATGGCAAGATTATATTGATCATGTTTGATCATGTTTGAAAACATAATTCATTTTTAAAAGTTTTGCGCTCTGCCCAAATATTCTTTTTAAAGCTCTTTTTTGTCCTAATAATATGTGTGATTTGTGTTAAACTGCCTCTCTTTCCACAATAGAAATTCCTCATATGGAAAATTAGACATTTTAAAGTCATGGGACTAACAAAATCATGTATTATTTGCTTGCAGATATTAGAAAAGGTACGTTTTATTTTAAGGTGCTGATCAAACCACATAAAAATGAAAAGCAAACAAACTGAGCAGAGTCATTAAAACTTGTAAAAAACTTTTTCTTTAAATAGAAATGTGTTAGGAATTTGCCTAAGAGCATCTATTGTAATTACATGAAAACTGGTCTCTGCTCTTTAAACCTGTCCTGCTAACAAAGTATTATTTTCTGTTTTGACTTGCTAAAGTAAAAGTAGAAAAAGAAAAACATTGTATGACCAGATTATTCACATTTAATCCGAACTTCAAGTGAAACCATGGTCCTGCCATTAGTGGATAATCCTGAGTTTCCTCCAAAACCTGTTTCAGTGATACCAGGCTCCTGTTTGTTTACCAGTTAGTCACTAGTATCAAATCAGGAAGCTGACGGTCAGATCACAAAGTCTCAACTCAATTCAAATTTATTGGACTGTTTTAGTGATGGCTTGCACTGATTAATGCAATCATGCTGTTGGGTTTATGCCTGTAATTTAAGATGATATGTACTTACTGTCAAGATATCATTCTTACCGTGTTGCTTTGACGCTCTACTTCTCATGAACAGCCCTATTTCTGTAAATGACGTATCAATGGGTCAATACACAGTTCTTTAATGATCTCCACACATAGGGCTTAGTTATCTCTGATCATGATGTGATCATACATTTGAATGGCACTGGAGCTGTCAGATGGAAATTCTGGGATTTTTTCCCAAGAAAGAAATGATTCATCATTCACTAACCACTTTCTTAAGCCATACATTTCCTTGATGCAACGACCGTACCTTTGGAAAGTCCCCACCGTTATCAAGGCGTAGTTTCTACGTGGAAAATTTCAGAATATCACCTTCAAACTGGGTTTGTACACAAACAGCACCCTCTGCTGGAGATTTGCACAATAGCAAGTAAAGTTATTGAAAGATGAAGGGTCCAATGTTAACTTACACCACAATGCAGAAAACGCAGGTTAGAAAAGAGCAGAGGAGAATAGCCGATCATTTCTGGTTTGATGTTGCTGTTCTATTAATTTTTTGTGTGTCTTAGGTCAAAATCTTCTAACAAAGTAAGAAGAAGTGATGACAAGGAGAGGCTGCTGCATTAGCAAGTTAATCTGGTTCTTTTTCAAAAGCTTGTTTAGTGGGCCATTTTATCTAAATCAATAGTTGACGTTACCATGACTTTTGACCCGATACTGAAACAAGAGTCAGCCCCTTGGTAGTCCGCTAATACCAACGCTGCATGATAATGCTCTGGGGACACCATGGAAATTGTAATTCTTATATGCCATATATCTATTTATTGAATATCTGGCTTACTTGACATCAGCCGTGGTCTCTCTCCTCTTAGCCTCTTTTTTAAAAGAACATGGCCAGTTTGGTTATCAGTTGGTAAAAATCACTGCTATTCCCACATTCTCTCCTCAACAGCATTTCAAGTCATAGAAGAGATGCAATGCGGTTGAACATTATTCAAGGAAGTTTTGCCTTGGTCCCCAATGTAATTGACTGCCAGGATCAACTGCAGGAGGCTGTTCAGTATTTGAGTTAACTTAATTTGGATACGTTTTATTTGCTTACCTAGCTTTCAAGACAGAAACATTCTGTTGTTCCTTCACGTCTGAAAATACTTAGTTTAGAAAATGTTAAGTAACTAAAATGCCATCTCTGCACTTAGATGTTGTTTCTGAATCATTCTCAGTTTTTAACAGATCTTTTTACACATCTGGGCTATGTGTTTTAGGTACAGAGCATGTATATGTATCCAACAGAACCTCTTTTCATCACGCTGTACAACTGTACATTTGAAACAATTGCACATCACATTTGTCAATGCGTGGTCTTTTTCACTAGGTTTATTCTCTTGGCCAGATTATTCAAGTATATAATAAACATTACAGTGACATTTTTACACCAGTTACACTCAGCTGTACATGCAAATAATTGCAACAGATCCCAGCAGCCTTGCGAATCACAGCACATTTCACTGAATAAATGCTGATTGACTTTGGTATCATACTCTTCAATACCTCATTTTCTTTTAGATTTGTTGGATCTTATATTGGCTTCATCTCAAGCAGTATCACCAAGACTAATTCTTAGATCAGTTTTGACAATCAAGTCAAACATTTTCAATCTTGGTTGTTCTATTGTAGGAAATAAAAAAAAAATCAAAAACACTATGCGTGTTTTCTCCATTTTTGCCATGACTTCTGTAATGGATTGCACTCATGCATGAGTCAGGGCTCCATCTATTGCATCCAGTTGCTCAAAGTGCTGGGGTTAGACTCATTACTGGGAGAATAAGGCCCAAGCACATCACCCCTCTGCTGCCTTCTTGCATCACCTTCTTTAAAAAAAAAGTTATTGATTTTAAAATCTTTCTGCTCATCTGTGAAGTCTTTTGGGGCATTTTCACCAAATGTATCTCAAACTTATCGACCTGGCATGTGCCCTCCCAAACACTGACGTCCACAGTTGCTAAACAGCTAACTATTTCTGGTTCACAATTTGATCAAGCATTAGATCAGGCCTCTCTTTTACTGCTGTGAGCCCCACACATATGGAACTGCTTTGCCCAGTGAAGTCAGAGACAGTAGTAGTTACACACTTGGTTTTCCTGTCTCAACTAACTCACTTTGTTACTTGTAAAACTGTTAGGAAGGGATTCTTGCAAATGTTACTTGTTTACTATTGTCATGGCAGCATGTTTGAAACTCATTACTCAATACAGGGTGTAATTATTATTCCCACAGCAGTTTAAAAAATGCTGTGGGAATCATTCTGCCTACACCTTTGCATTAAATCTCAAATACATTTTTCACTGTGTCAGAGTTTTACATGGACTGAAAACTGAGCGTGGGTGTCACCAGAGGAGCTTGACTGATTACATTGGTCAGCTGACTGAACACACAGGAGCACCTTAAAGCAATTAAAACATCCTAAATTAATATCAAGGGAAGAGGCACAAAGTGTTCTTACACATTATCGCGATGTGTTGTATTAGTTATGTCATGTGTCATTTGATTTTAAATACAGTACTCTTCCTCAGTTTAGATTTTTTTGTCAGAGCAGCTCTTGGAGGAAAGATGTCCTTTTTCTTGCCTCAAACTTGTGAGAATCTGTGACTGACTGCTGCTATTTCTATCACTGGGTAAAGTGGTGATGTGCTGCTGTCACAGTTAACATTTTATGCCCTACTTACACAGTAGATTGGGGACATTTCTTCCACAAGGTGGTTCAGTTTTTTTAAAAACATTAAGTGACTCGAACTGTTCTCTGAGTCCAAACTCCATATTTTCACATGTCATCCATACTTACATCTTGGCGGGCAGAGGCAGCGTGTCATACCGTTGCCATAGCGACCGGCCTGTCTGGTGAATGGGATGCCCACTACACTGGAGGTCAGTACATTAGCAGCAGTTTTTTTCTGACACACGTGGCACATTCTGTCACCAAGTTGGCAAGGCCATCACACACATAAACATCACACATGTGTGAATGCAAACAGATTGGGATTGTCCTGTTGAGAGGCATTGGAGCATTGCATGTGTTTTCATATTTTTTGGAGGGGGAATTAGGCAAATGTGAATTTGTCCTTGTCACATTGAGTGAAGTGTGTGATTTTAACCTGCTTTTGCATGCCCGTAGACATGATGACCCAGATGAGAACCACACGCATAGGCTGACACCAATTTTATACAGACACACACACACGTGAATACAAGTGCTGACATGCTGTGTTCCCCTCCTCTTCGAGGGTAATGAATGCTGATGAGGTAGTCAGGGGAATCACTGGAGTCCAACACAAAGGCGTGCAGCTAAATAATGATGTCCAATGTGGAGGTGAGCATGAGGTCGGGTTATTCTTTTTCCTTTAAATCTGTCACAGTCAGACAGGAGTGCTGATAGGTACATTAAATGGCACAAGGCCATCATGTTACTGGTGGTGTTTTAGTGAATTATTATGTGTAACTGCAATGCCTCAATGCCTTCAAACACCCCCAGGAGATGGCCACAAGTGTTTAGCCATGAGTTGTTGGGC